CACTATAGTTGGCTTTCCTTTTGCCTTTTGTGTTTGGATTATGGAAGTACTTCCTATTTTCCAAGAAAAACAATTTGTGAACTTCAAAGAATCTGGTTATCCTCGGATGTTATGTTATTCTGAAATGAAGTCTCCACAGTTTGATGCTCTTTGTAGAAAATATTTCCATAATGAAAATGTAAGTTAATGTAATCACTATCTATTTTTTTGTTTATTTGTTTTAGTTGTGAATACTTATGTTTACTTTTTCTTATATAATAGTTGTTTAAGTTGATCGAGGTGTCACCATTCATTCCTGTTGAAGAAGAAGATACAGAGCCTCTTAGTGTGGAGGATCCAATTTCACAAGATCAAAGCTCAAGGTCTTCTTCCACACAATTTGACGAAGCCATACTTAAGGAAATTGTTAGAGTATGTGTTTCTGCCTTTGAATAGTATTAGTTTTTTATTTGATTATTTCTTACTTACGAACACTTTTTTTTTATTTTATGTTTTTTTGATTCAGAGATTATCAGAGAGTTTTAAGAAGGATTTGCAAGCTGAAGTTACTAGAGTTTATCAGAAAATAGCTGTAGCAGAAAAAAAGATTGAGAATGAAATCATGGTATTTTCAGTTAGTCTAACTTTAGGACTTTGTGTCATTAAATTTTGAACTTGGAATTGAAAGTTAAGGACTTGTTGTCCTTAACTTTTGAACTTGGAATTCAAAGTTAAGGACTGCCTGTCCTTAACTTTTGAACTTGGAAATGAAACTTAAGGACTTCTTGTCCTTAAGTTTTGAACTTGGAATTCAAAGTTAAGGACTTCTTGTCCTTAATTTGTGAACTTGGAATTCAAAGTTAAGGACTGCCTGTCCTTAACTTTTGAACTTGGAAATGAAACTTAAGGACTTCTTGTCCTTATGTTTTGAACTTGGAATTCAAAGTTAAGGACTGCCTGTCCTTAACTTTTCAACCTGTAAATCAAACTTAAGGACTGCCTGTCCTTAAATTTTGAACCTGTCCTTAACTTTCTAACTTAGTTTCTTTCTCAGGATTTAAAGAAAACTCTAGGATCAAAGCTTGATACTTTGTTGAACATTTTTGGGAAAGCTGATCAAATGAACACAGATAGAGAATCTAGTGTTCCAATTAGAAAAGATGGAGTTGATGATCATTGTCGTGCTACAGAGCCTACTGTTACAATCAACGAAGATGCAGGCGGTGATGAACGTGATGATATGGATGTGGATGCAGAAGTGCAGTATGAAAGCGATTTTAGAGATGCACATCTAGATGATGAAACTGAGAACGTTACTGATATTGGGAAAGGTTAGATATAGATTTTGATTTTTTTTTTTTTAAAATTTATATTGAATAGAGAAATACATATAAACTTTTTTGTGATTACAAATATTTGTAGAATCTACTGATGGAGTGGAAGTTGAAGATGTAGGTGAATTTCAAGACCGGGAAAATCCAAAAGAGAAAGGAGAAACAGAGAAAGGAGAAACAGAAAAAATTTGTAAATGTGGATTGCAATCTCAGGAGGATTTATCAAGTCCATTGGGAACAAGTGTCAGCGGGATTGTATGCAAATGCTTAGAAGGAACATATGATCTTTCTACACCTCTGTCATACAAAGAAAAATTTGGATTTCAAAGTTGTGCCAATCAAGGTTAGATAAAATTTTCATTATATATTGTATGTTAGTTTCAGTGAATTATTAGAATGGGTATTAATTGCAAATGTTACAGAATCTTTTGAAGCTGGAAGGGAAGAAGCTGGAGTGGAGTATCAAGAGAAAAGTGGAATACAATCTCAAGACGTACAAAATACTGAAGGAACAAGCAGAAGTGAGATTGGTTCCAAATGCATAAATGCAACATGTGATATCTCTAGACCTCCCTCTCTTAACGACGATATTGGAACCGAAGAAAATGCTAGTGAAGATAATGATATAATTGGGATGATCTTGACTATTGCAAATGGTTAGACAGTATTTTATTTTATTTTATATATGTTTGTTTTATCAAAGATTATTAACAAGTACTAATTGTGTTAGCTCTTGTAAATATTTTTGCAGAATCTTGTGAACAAGCAACTGAAGCACAGGGTGAACAATTGCAAGATGATGAAAATGTGCAATTGGAAGAAAAAGAAAATGATGCAAGTAATATCTTAGCTGAATTGTCTCTTGAAAAAATACAAGAAGGTAGTGTTATGTTATTCTGAATTTCAAGTGTCACGTAAAAAAGTTAAGGACAAGCAGTCCTTAACTTAAAGTTTGAAGTTCAAAAGTTAAGGACAATAGGTCTTGAACTTCAAAATTGTAGTTCAAAAGTTAAGGACATTTGGTCCTTAACTTCAAGTTTCATGTGCAAAAGTTAAGGAAGTGCAGTCCTTAACTTATAGTTTGAAGTTGAAAAGTTAAGGACACTTGGTCCTTAACTTCAAATTTTAAGTGCAAAAGTTAAGGACAAGCAGTCCTTAATGGTTAGACAGTATTTTATTTTATTTTATATATGTTTGTTTTATCAAAGATTATTAACAAGTACTAATTGTGTTAGCTCTTGTAAATATTTTTGCAGAATCTTGTGAACAAGCAACTGAAGCACAGGGTGAACAATTGCAAGATGATGAAAATGTGCAATTGGGAGAAAAAGAAAATGATGCAAGCAATATCTTAGCTGAATTGTCTCTTGAAAAAATACAAGAAGGTAGTGTGCAGAAGACAGGTACTGATTGTGTCCTAAATATTATATTCATATTGAAATTTTGTCTCTTCATTTGACGAGTTGCAGCAAACTAATATATATATATATAGAGTTGCTGGCAGAGGACAACAATGATGAAGCTGTTAGCAAAAATACGAGGAAAAGAAAGAGAGACAGTATTGGTTATGATGGTCCGTCATTTGCTATTCTTTCTCCTACTCCTCCAAGTACACAAATGAGCATTGATGGGGCTTTGACTATGGAGGTTGAAGGAAATATTGAAGAAGAGCTTGGTCGAGGTAAAAGGTACAAGAAGCTAAGTTGGCAGTTGAAATCTCCTTTTGATCAGGAAAGAAAAGCGGGAACTTCGAAGTCAGATGATCAAAATACTCCGAAGAGTTCAGGCTGGATAAAATCAACATATACTCGTAGGTGTATTTTTCATTATGCCGTAGAAGATGCAAAATTAATGAAGAAATTCATTGCGTGGTTGCGCAAGGAGAAAAGGAGAGGTCGCAAAAAAGAGTAAGTGCCTTCATGTATTTCACTAAGTCCTTAACTTCTGTGATTGTAAGACTAATTTTAGGAATAAGTCTCCTGAACATTTGAAGTTGTAAGTCAAAGTTGAGGACCATGTGTCCTAAATATTCGAACTTGTAATTCAAAGTAAAGGACTGCCTATCGTTAACATTTGAACCTTCAAGTCAAACTTAAGGACTGTCTGTCCTTAAGTTTTGAACTTGAAACTATAAGTTAAGGATCTCCTGTCCTTAACTTTTGAACTTGATACCCAAAGTTAAGGGCAGACAGTCCTTAGCTTTTGAACTTCTAATTCAAACTTAAGGACTGTCTGTCCCTAAGTTTTGAACTTGGAATTCAAAGTTAAGGACAGACAGTCCTTAAGTTTTAAACTTGAATCTATAAGTTAAGGACCTCATGTCCTTAACTTTTGAACTTGATACTCAAACTTAAGGACTGCCTGTCCTTAGCTTTTGAATTTGGAATTCAAAGTTAAGGACAGACAGTCCTTAAGTTTTAAACTTGAATCTATAAGTTAAGGACCAAGTGTCCTTAGCTTTTGAACTTCTAATTCAAATTTAAGGACTGCCTGTCGTTAATTTTGCAACATGAAAGGCTAAGTTCAGGATTAAATTCTAACTTTGATATTTTCAAAATTTTCAGGGGACAAATTGATATATATGCTGATGATAATGGTGTGAGGAAAAATCCATACAAATTGTATCATCAAAAAATCAGTAGCAAAATGTTCTTCCTTGAGCTTTCAGATAGCAGTTTTATACTTGATGATAAGGTTAGATAATTCACAAGGCATTTATTTTTTCTATTCTTAATTTATCATTTTTTAATTATTTTATGACTGATGGATTTGTTTTATTTTTTGCCTTTTTATGAAGCATATTGACATTGCCCTATATTATCTGAGAAAGAAGGAATGCTACCACCCTCGCGATCATCCTTTTCGATGCACAACTACTGATATTCTTTTTGATAATTATATGGTACTTGTGTATAAAGATTTCAGTGAAGATGCTACTGATGACTTTTGGTGTGCTGGTGATGATCAGTTATTTCTGACACTATATGTGTGGGGGGACAGCCTTAGATGTGGAATTGCTTGGACAGAGGTTGACAAAATCTTTTTTCCATGTCGGCTTCCTTCTGAAGATGATAATGCTCTGACACACTTTCTGTTGGGGGTATTGGACTTGAATCAGAAAAAGATTGATGTATACGATTCCATATACAGTGAGCCATATGAGGCAGGAATGAAACACATGGAAATGTATGCACGCATGATCCCCCACTTGCTAAAGTTCGCACAGTTTGACAAACATCACAAGTCTTTTGGGAATGTCTTCAACAAATTTGATATACAGTGGCAAAGATCACCACACCAAAATGGATCGTACGTGTTGTTATTTGTTATATTATTTATATGTACTTTAGATTTATTGTTTAATTCACTACATATCATACATTTCTCTTAGGACTGATGTGGTGCATTCCTGATCAAATATGTCGAGTTGCTGATGATTGGAAAGGACGTGGAGCAATTCCAACCCGAAGACATAAAAGACTTTTGAAAAGAACTTGCTGCAAATCTTTGGGCACATGGTGAATGGAAACGAAATTCTGGTTATGATACTCCACCAGAAAATGTTGGCGATGATTATGAGAGTGAAAATGAAACTTTCTGTCCAAAGGAGTTGTAAAGAAATTGTGGTGTTCTTTTGTATAAAATTGCTGTAAAGGATACATATGAATTTTGCAAGTTTAGGAAACTTCAGAAAACACCACGATATTTTGACTTTAAAAAAGTTGCATCAACAGCAATCACTGGTCTACAATGATTCCAACCAGCTATTGATGATCCATATGCATAAAACATATAAAGAAACCTGAAAATACAATATAAAACAAGGTTAAAATACCTGAAGTTTATGACAGTCAGTCCTTAACTTACATTTCCAAGTTATAAAGTTAAGGACATGCTGTCCTTAACTTTGATTTCAAAGTTCAAAACTTAAGGACTGGCAGTCCTTAACTTTGAATTACAAGATCAAAACTTAAGGACAGCCAGTCCTCAACTTCTGGTTAAAACTCAAAAGTTAACAAGGTTAAAGACAGCATGTCCTAAATTGTTTACCTGTTGTTGTCGTCTATCTTTATGTTAGTATAAGTTCCCGGGTTTTTACTTGTCATCATATACAAGTATGAAGACAATAATTCATAATTCTCTTCGGGACTTCCTCTTATTAAAGCGGAAGCATGTTGAATAGCACGCCACGCCTTGTGATATCCAATGTCTAGTCCATGCAATTTTTGCATCTCTGCCATGACAAAAGCTGGTGTAACTTCAAATCTTGGGTCCCGAAGATTGTCGATAATGTAACCACTAATCAACTTTGAAGTAGCATGCCTTTGATCTGCTTTCATAGTGTTAACAGAGCAGTCATGCTTTTTCTCAATCTTTACTATCTTGAACAGTGTTGAATCTTTAATTCTGAAAGCACGCACACACTAACAACACCTATCATCATTGCATGTCAACGAATATCTTGTTGAGCTTGATCTAACAACCTTGAATTCAAAATGTCCTTTGATTGCTATATTGGAAAAACAGTTAATTATACTCTTCTTCTTGTCAAATACTGATCCGACTTTTATTTCATCCAACAAAGCATTTTCTCTTAATATCGTAGTTGGGGATTCTTTTTGTTTCAAATTTGATCTTCGTCTAGTTATTTGAGTACAGGTTTTTTCAGCAACTTCTTCGATTACCGGTGCACTCTCTAAGACTTGAATACCCGAAGCTTGTTCGTCGTCAATCTCTATAATGCTTTGTCCTTCTACTTGAATAGAATCAAATGTTTGAAGCACCTCTTCATTTAATGGTTGAGCTTCAACCATATCTATTTTCATTATCTGTTGGCATTTGTCTTGATTGTCATGTTGAGTTTCTGTGTTGACATGTTCATTGCTTGTTGATGCAAAAACTCTTTCCGAAATATCAACTATGAAACGACAGCTCTTGAAGAGTGAATGAGTTTTTAGCAACTCTATACATGTGTGAAGATCTAAATCTTTGGATACAAGCATTCCTTTGCTTGTTCCAAGGTTGATATCAAACCATATCACTGCTTCAAACTTTTCTCTATCCAATTCAATAAGCTCAAAGATCTGTTTAGTGAAATCTTCAAACCGAATTGACTCAGGTACTAGAAAAAGCTTTGTTTGATGATCAAGATATTTATAGTCTTCAGTCCATCTACCATTAAAAGCAACTATAATGCATATTGTTTCCATCCTGCAAGTCAAGAGAATTGGGAAACTGAGGACATACGTTATAAAGCAATCCTTGTATAATTAAGAACAGGTGTACTGTAAGTGCAAGACCAAGGTAAGGACTAAGTGTCCTTAACATTTTAACTTGGAATTAAAAGTTAGGGACTGCCTGTCCTTAACTTTAGAACCATAAATTAAAACTTAAGGACTGCCTGTCCTTAACATTTGAACATGGAATTAAAAGTTAAGGACTGCCTGTCCTTAACATTTGAACTTGGAATTAAAACTTAAGGACTGCCAATCCTTAACATTTGAACTTGGAATTAAAAGTTAAGGACTGCCTGTCCTTAACTTTTGAACCAGACATTAAAACTTAAGGACTGCCAGTCCTTAACATTTAAACTTGGAATTAAAAGTTAAGGACTGCCTGTCCTAAACTTTTTAACCTGCAAGTCAAAACTTAAGGACTGCCTGTCCTTAACATTTAAACTTGGAATTAAAAGTTAAGGACTGCCTGTCCTAAACTTTTTAACCTGCAAGTCAAAACTTAAGGACTCATGTACTTAACTTTTCAATCTGTAATTCAAACTTAAGGACTTCCTGTCCTTAACTTTTTCAATTTGAAACTCAAACTTCAGGACTTAGTATACAGAAGAACAGCAACAAAGTGAAGGACATTGTGTCCTTAAGTTTTTCAATTCAATTTGCAAAATGAGAACAGTGGAATCAAAGTTAAGGACATTGTGTCCTTAATTTTTGAATTCAATTTCCAAAATGAAGACACTATGTCCTTAATATTATGTGCTCAACTTTTATAGAATTATCATAGGAGGCGATGTCCTTAACTTTATCAATCCAGAAATTCAAAAAAAATCAAATTCTTATCTACTATATAATCAAATCAATACAAATCGAAAAAAGTATAACTATATCGAAATAAAAATCGACAGAAACACATGAAAGTATACCTTACTGTTTATCTATGTCGTAACTATATCGAAATAAAAATCGACAGAAACACATGAAAGTATACCTTACTGTTTATCTATGTCGATTTTTTGGATGAGAATGTTGAATTTTTGAAATTGGAAGAGAATTGCGATCAAAGTGTCGATCGACGCTTCTGCTGCTGCTGCTGCTTCTCGTTCTGTGGGATTAAAAGCGTAGGTATAACTTATACCAGAAGGGTATTTTCGTCCAGTTAGGTATAAGTTTATTAAAGTAGTGGCTAAAGCCTAAATACATTGAAAACACTGGCTTTAAAATAAAAGCAGCTGCTTTTAGTGGCTATTTGTGCACTTCGCCCAAGCATCGAAGGACGTAGCTGCCCCATTAATGGGCGGTGCTGCAGTAACTGGCTGAACTACCCTAACTGGATGAGCTGCTGGGGTCTGAAACTAGGGAGCCATCTGCTCCGGAGTATGAGTGGCAGGAGTTTGGGCTCCTCCTCCAGCCTGAGATACTGCTGGTGCCACGTTGGTCCCGCCGGACTCTACTAAGCTTGTCCGTGAATTGTGAGACCTAAGCAATCTAATGCTCTTATACCAACTTGTTACGACCCGAATTCTCAACCGTCGGGACCGTGATGACGCCTAACATCGCACCAGCTAGGCAAGCCAACATTAAAATTTAGCTAACTATTTTCTTTTACAATTAATTGAATACAAGTACACAGTTTTAAACAAGTGATCACCAATGCGGAATTAAATAAATACTGCTTAACCATGAACTATTACTACCACCCAGAACTGGTGTCACAATCCACGAACGTTCTATGAATATCTACAAGTATTGGAAAGAAAAGTACATCTGTCTCGAAAGAAAATAAAACGAAAATGTATAACATAGAAGGGGACGGCAGGACCTGCCGACGCCTGCAGGACTACCTTGGGTCTCCTGGACGAATGCCTGCAACCGACCTCTCGATCAGCCACAATCAGCTCCAAAATCTGCACAGAAAGTGCAGAGTGCAATATCAGTACAACGACCCCATATACTAATAAGTGCCGAGCATAACCTCGACGAGGTAGTGACGAGGCTACGGCGGGGCGTTTATAATATAACATGCATATAGTTTATAATAAAGCAAAAAGGGAGAACGAAACAAAATGAAATAGTAACTTGCAGTAAATAAATAAGGAACCCAGCTATCTTGCCAGTACTCAGCTATAACCAATCCTTAAGAGAATTTCAATGCTACAGAATAAAATAACAGTAGAAGTAGAATACGCAAACAATAAAATGATGCGACGTGCATCCGGGTCCCACCATATAATCAGTAACAACATGAACATTCACCTGTATTACTCCTGTTGCGGCGTGCAACCCGATCCCACCAGTCCGCTCTTATTACTCCTCAATATATCACCCTTATTCCTCCTGTTGCGGTGTTCAACCCGATCCCACCTGTCCATCCTTATTACTCCTTGTTACGGCGTGCAACCCGATCCCACCAAACAATAACCAGTCTGTAACGACCCGGTCGATCGTTGCGAGAGTTTATCCCTATTTCCCCTATTTTTGCTTCATTTTGTGTGGTTCAGCTCTTGTGTGTTTTGTTGGGTTGGTTGGCTCGGGTTCGGAGTAGTCGTGGTGAGAAATGAGACACTTAGTCTTTTAAGTTGGCCTTATAGTTAGAAAAGTCAACCGGAAGTTGACTATTTGGGAAACGACCTCGGAATGCGGATTTTATAGCTTGGATAGTTTTGTTAGGTGATTTGTGACTTAGGAGTGAGTTCGGAATATTTTTCGGAGGTCCGGAGTAGGTTTAGGCTTGAATTGGCAAAATTGAGTTTTTGGCGATTTTAGGTCGGTAGTGAAAAATTAGCTATCGGGGTCGGAATAGAATTCTGGAAGTTGGAACAGGTTAGTAGTGTCATTTTGGATATGTGTGGACGTGTTTTGGGTAGTTTCAGCAACATTAGCGAAATTTAGAAATCTTAAAGTTCATAGGCTTGAATCCGATGTGATTTTGGTGTTTTGGAATTGTTTTGGGTGTTTCGAAGGCTCGACTAAGTTTGAATAAGGTTATGCGATGTGTTGGTATGTTTGGTTGAGGTACCGAGGGCCTCGGGTGAGTTTTGAGTTGTTAACGGATCAAATTTTGGACTTAAGAGTTGGCAGATTTTTGCTGGTTTTTGGTTGCAGAGTTTCTTCTTCGCGTTCGCATTGGTGGAGCCGCGTTAGCGAAGTTTTATGGGGGCTGGGGCCTTTTTGTTCTATGCGTCCGCGAAGTAGGCCCGATTTTGCGAAGGTTTGGCCAGTGGAAGGAATGCGAACGCGGGGTGTATGATGCGTTCGCGAAGAGGTAAAGTGGGGCAGCCAGGGATTTGCCCATCGCGTTCGCATGGTGGAGACGCGTTCGCATAATTTTGGGCAGCTGAAGCTCCGCATTCGCGAGACGGAGCTCGCGTTCGCGAAAGAGGACAATTGGGCAATGGAACTCTGTGCTTCGCGAACGCGAGGCTGTGGCCGCGTTCGCATACAAGGACCTGGGCAGAATATTTAAAAAGCCATCTCTGTGATTTTTAGCCCACTTTTCACCATTTTCAGGTACCGGGGCAGAGCGATAGTTGAGCTACCCCATTTGTAGCATTGTTCGGAGATTGTGAGGTAGGTGCTCGGCATCCGCAACCTACTCTTTCTCCTTCCTACTCTGTCATTTTACTTTACTTCCCAGATTTGTTGTAGTAGAGAATTAGTATTAGACTGTATCACTTCTTAGATGCTCATGACGGTTGACTCCAGATATTGGGGCTTTGTTTAGACGTTCTGATCATTTTTATTGTTTTGAAATGCTTAAAAATGGAAATTATTTTGAAACATAGGACAATTTATGTATTAAATGGGAACCTTATGATATTTTCAGTAAATTTGGCTAGCCTAGTACCACGATAGGCGCCATCACGGCCAGTTTAGATTTGGGGTCGTGACAAGTTTGTATCAAAGCCTAGGTTACATAGGACTCACCGGTCATGAGCAGGTTTAGTAGAGTCTTGCGGATCGGTACAGAGACGTCTGTACTTATCTTCGAGAGGATACAGAACCCTTAGGAAAAATCTCACATTCTTGAAGTCTTGTCGCGCAAATCCATTTTATTCAGCCAAAAGCGTAACTCTTTGAATTCCTTTCATGTATTCGAATGCGCACGTGAGTGCTTGGTATCAGCTGTGCATCGACGACTTATGACTTCCATGGATGAGATGCGAGTTTTAGCATGTTGATAATGGGCCAGTCTGGAGGACTTGAGGACGGATTCTGTCTGTGGCTTGAGTGCTGAGATTTTGTTGTGTGAGCACATGTATTTGGGGACTTATATGTCCGTTGGTGTCCTTATTGACGGGACTTTATGACTAGATGACTATGTGGTGAGTATGATTTGAGGGTGAGAGGTGGTCATATTGCTTGATTGTGTCAAAAAAGGATGGGCTGGATATGTAGCAAGAACTATTGAGTGTTTGACTTATGTCTGGAGTTGGCATATGGCCTCGAATTGTGAGTGTATTGGAAGACCTCTTATGTTGTTTAGTTGTGGAGTGAAGCGGATCTTTCTATTGTGTTATGAGTTCTTGGTGATATCTTTGGCGCCGACCATTGTCCAGTAGCGTTCATGTACTTGATTAACGGTGTATTCCAGCCGTACTAGCACTCCTTTGTTATAGTATTCATTGATGGAATCCTTGCATATACACGTAGCCAGGGGTAGCATACTCAGTATTTGAGGATGGCATTATAAGGATTCAGGGAGGAGAAGCTCTATACAAAGTTCTCCAAGTGTGAATTTTTGCTCAGTTCAGTAGCATTCTTGGGACACGTGGTGTCTAGTGAGGGTATCCATGTGGTCAGACAAGTGTGGGTAGAGCTTCCAGAAGCTCAAGATTTATTTGACCTCAGCTCTGGTGTTAGTTCTGCCATCAGCTTCAGGTTCTTATACCGCGTATGTTTATGCCTCGAGGTTAGGCATTGGTTGTGTTTTAATGCAGAAGGGTGTAGTGATTGCGTGATAGTTATGATTTTTCGAA